CTTAAGTTGTTTAAGGGAAAATCCCTTCCCTCTACAGAAAATTGACATCACATAAGATACCAGGTTGCTGATCCTGGTCCTGTGGGATTGCTTGGGGTTGGCAGGGAAATTAGGGTGACCAGATTTCCTGATTTTATAGGGACAGTCCCGATATCTGGGGCTTTTTCTTATATAGGCACCTATTACCCCCCACCCCCTGTCCCGATTTTTCACATTTGCTATCTCGTCACCCTACAAGGAATGCAAGAGAACAGCTCCACCTCCCTCTGGAATCATTAGTAGGGATCACACTTGGAAAAGAGACAGCTAAGGGGGGATATGATTGAGGTCTCTAAAATCATGACTGGTGTAGAGAAAATAGATAAGGAAGTGTTGTTTACTCCTTCTCATAACACAAGAACGAGGGGGTCACCCAATGAAATTAATAGGCAGCCGGTTTAAAACAAATAAAAAGAAGTATTTCTTCACACACTGCACAGTCAACCTGTGGAACTCCTTGCCAGAGGATGTTGTGAAGGCCAAGACCATAACAGGGTTCAAAAAAGAACTAGATAAATTCATGGAGGATAGGTCCCACAATGGCTATTAGCCAGGATGGGCAGGGAGGGTGTCCCTAGCCTCTGTTTGCCAGAAGCTGGGAATGAGCGACAGGGGATGGATCACTTGATGATTCCCTGTTCTGTTCATTCCTTCTGGGGCACCTGGCATTGGCCACTGTCGGAAGACACGATACTGGGCTAGATGGACCTTTGGTCTGACCCAGTCTGGCCGTTCTTATGTTCATAGGAGGTGATATTCTATTTCCAGTAAGATATGAGAATGCAAATCAAATACCTTTAGTAAACTGGAGACGGAATAGCTCCACCTCCTCTGAAATAGGATGGGGTTGTTTCAGAGCCATCGTACAGACACAGCATTATAAAGGTCGAGCGTTTGGATACATGAATAATCTTTCATTGTTAACTAAAGGTCTCATCCCTATGGACGCAGGACAGGTTTTCGTAATTGTAACAACAGACGAGGAGCCTCCAGAACGTGATACAGCATGGGATGAGCCACTCTGCTGATCACAGTCACCTCAGGGAGTGGTAACCCTCATATTAGAAGAGCCTCTAACTACCACACTGCACACATGGAGGACATTCCCAGCAGAAGCTGGGACCCCAGTTCGTCGCCTTTAAGATGCCCTGAAGGCGTAACCTGGATCACCCAGTGGTTCACCTGCTACTTCAATACCTGGGACCTTGCTTAAGAATATCCACTTTGCACGCACACCTGTTGCGTTAAACCTGTCTCACTGGAACGTGGCTGGTCGTGCAAAGGGAACAAAAAGTTGTGTCTTACTGCAGTAATAGATAAATTAGCAACGTATCAGACAGACATTTGCCTCGCAACCTGGTATTTTTTGAACCAGGTGTCTCCAAGAGTTAGATGGAATTGTTGGTTCTATTTTGGGTTTGTCTGGATCAGGCTTGTCAACGCAGAACAGAGCGGATTTGGAACGCGAACCGCGGCCAGCGGGAGCCGCGATCGGCCGAACCTGCGGACGCGGCAGGGAAACAAACCGGCCCGGCCCGCCGGGGGCTTTCCCTGAACAAGCAGCGGAACAAGTCTGGGAACCACTGCTTTAAGGGATACTGAAAATGGACGGATACCTAATCTTGCTGAAGATGGGCATTTGGTTAAATTATTGCCCACCGTGTATAAAGGGAACTTCTGTAAAGAACTTCTGTATTAGAAGTTTGGGGATCAGTGACACTCCACCCTAATCAAGGCCCGTGTTATATAAATCTTGTTCAATGAGAGAGTCTCTGTACATTTCTTTTACAGAATCTTTACCAATATTAGACCCAAATACAGCTGTCTTCAACAAATTAACCCCTGCCCCTTCAGTAGATTACACAGAAGAAGAAATCTACAAGGAGCGACTGGATTTACCGCAGCTACTCGTGCTTCACCCAGCAACACAAACATGGGGAACACCGGCTCTAGCTTGTTGCTCTGTCAGCGGGTATCCATATGTTTGCAGGTGTGATGTTTTTGGTGTTGCAATGCCTGCCTGTGGCCATGGAGGCCCTACACAGACCAACAAGACAGACAAGCTTGCCGCTGTTGTCTCCTGACCAGTGAAACTCACTAAGTGGGGACTTCCTACTGTGAAGGTGGCCTATAAAGTGGAAGAACAGTACGGCAGGCAACTAATCATAAAACATTTTGATATGGTGACTGTGGTGAGCTGCAGTGGCCTCCCATCGAGCCGGAGGGGGAGGGACCGCTCTTTGGGCCCGAGGGGGCAGAGACTGGCAGTCACGAGGCAGGACAGGAAGTATAAAAGTTGGGCCCGGGCCAGGGAAGGGAGGAGACGTCCCCAGCCTACAGTCCGGTTGTGTTGCTCTCTGCACACAAGTCAGCGTGTTCTGGCTGGATCCCTGCTGACCCACTCCACCACTCTTAGGGCCCTGGGCTGGGACCCGGTGGAGTCGGGTGGGCCCAGGTCCCCCTACGCCTGCTGCCAACCCAACCCCTGGGGTGGCAGCCTCTTCCCCTTAGGCCAAAAGGCTCGTGTTTGTCTGCCACTGGCCAGAACCAGGACATCAGACGGTCTGTCATTTGCTCTGCCCTGCCCCGGGGCCTGAGCCTTAAGGCTGTTTGTCTGCCCCACCTGAGGGCTGGGGCTCCTTAAAACTACTGGATTGTGCTGTCCTGCCTAAGCCCTACTCCTGGATAGGGGGCGGTGCCCCAGAGACGCAGTGAGGCAGAGCGGTCTCCCACTGAGCTGGATGGAGAGGGACCATTTGTAGGGACCCACTACAAAGACCTTCGATGTGATGTGGCTCTTTGTGCCTCATGGGCAAAGCGTAAGTGGTCAAACTGTAATTATGCCTGTCCCACTTTGTCAGAAAGAATCAGCCAAAGAAAGCCTAAGCATCAAGAAGATATTGCAAGTCATATACCAGTTTTTAACCTACATATTCCTCCATTAACCGCAAACCTCAAATCATTGTTAAATTGAACGGATACACATGTTGTCCAAATCAGCACGGACATGCATGCGGCAGAAAAGTCTTTAGAAGATCTAGTACCTGATGGAGATTTTAATCTACTTATTTCTCATACATGGAGAGGAGTTACATTTAAGGCTAGTTATTATGGAAGTAGTGTTAGGTTTCTTTATTGATTTTATTTTGTCAATTATGCAGAGTACTCAAGCAGTATAAATCTCACATGAGCACCTTAGCTATAGCCTCAAAGAAACAAATAACTAAATAGTTTAGTGTTGCTCTGGTTAGTTAACAATAGCGACAAGGGGGTGTCTGTTAGTACCTGTTAGTAAATATAAACGCTTATCGTTCTTTCTTTCTCTAGATCTGATTCACTTACATACTTTAACAATCTTGGGAGCCTTCATGTCTCTACGACTCCAGATGTTCATGGAAACCACCTCCTTAACATATATCTATAATGCTGACTTAAGCACGTATAGACTTGGGAAACGAATAAGGGATGATTGTTACAACAGCTGATGTAGGCTTGGGAAATCAACAGGGAAGAATAATTGTGGGGTTAAGGAGGACCCACTGAGAGAGGTTATCTTGAAGAATTGTTAGTTCTCCCGGCTGTAAATGATCATGCCTTCACACATAAATCAGGTAAACTGAGAATGTACAGAAATGACACCACAACGTATGTTTCTGGGAGAATATTCTTGGCAACAAGGTTTCCTTTGTCTGAAACCCTCTATAAGGATACTGATATGGGAACCGGGTTGAGGGAATGAACACTGCGCAGTTCCTCTGGATGCAGGAGAGACACAGATCCAGCTCTTAGTCTGACAACAAAGGGTGGTAATGTACCTATTTCTGTCTGTACGCTGTATACTGCTGTACTAATCTCTGACTGATGATGTTGGATTACATAATTCCAGCTGAACCGGTTATTTCAACAATCGTGAGTCATTAACTCAGACACGCAACAGCTGCCTCATGCCTTTCACCACACGGACAGTGGCTAAACCCACCTCTGAAAACCAGGAAATGAAGAGCTGAAGCCCACAACACCTCCGCGACACTATCTTAACTTTGCCCCAAGCCCCTAGCCCTGGAGCTGGCAATCGCCACTGGGAACAGGTCAGGCAAAGGTAAACAAACTATTTAGGGAAGCGGAGGGTTCTCCATCCCCTGAAGTCTTCAAGTCAAGACTGGATGCCTTTCTGGAGAAGGATTTAGTCCAATACCAGGTATTCAGCTCAGTACCGCAGTAACTGGATGAAATTCTACGGCCTCTTGTCCAGGAGGGTCTGATTAGATGACCTAATAGTCCCTCCTGGCCTTTTAATCTATGAATCAATAATGTCTATGAGGAAGGACTAAGAGAACCTGCCGTTGTTTGTGTGGTGTTTCACAGACGGGAATGCCAGCATTTCTCCGCACGCCCTCCGGCTGTGAGCACTGGGCCAGGTGTAGCTGTACACGGAGGGTGGAGGGAGTAGTCCTTGGGGGACGGAGGGGGATAAAGGGGTGGAAACGTTTTGCAAATCTGGGCCGGTTTGGATGCAGCGGGCTCGGTGCTGGAGGGCTGGCCAGGGGCAGGCAGCTTCTGTTCTTTATGCCAGACCTGAACCCAAGTTTTGCCTTAGCCAAGAGAAGACCTTCGACTTTGTCCTGTTCCCAAAGCGTTCTCTAGCAGGGGAGGGCAGAGGGCTACTGTGCGTGTCATTGGCATGTCGGGGTGATGCTGAAACAGGGCAGAGTTAAGGCTGCATTATGGGGGGAGGGATAGCTCAGTGGTTTCAGCATGGGCCTGCTAAACCCAGGGTTGTGAGTTCAATCCTAGAGGGGGGCCATTTAGGGATGTGGGGCAAAAATTGGGGATTGGCCCTGCTTTGAGCAGGGGGTGGGACTAGATGACGTCCTGAGGTCCCTTCCAACCCCGATCTTCTGTGATTCTAAACTTCACTCTTCACTTCCTTTTCTAAGAAGGGAGGGGACGGGAATCCTTACCCAGCGAGGTCACATTCTCATAGTTCTCCTGCATGATGTCCCAGTACAGGTCTCGCTGAGCGGGGTCCAGCAGAGCCCACTCTTCCCTGGCGAAATACACAACCACCTCCTCGAAGGCCACCGGCTCCTGTAAGAGAAAGAGCCCCCCGCTCAGGACCTGCTGACCCACTCACAGCCCCACAATTCGCAGGAGCGCAGGACCAATCAAATGGAAGCTCTGGGAGGCACCCAGTCAGCAGAGTCCCCGTCTGCACCCCCCTCAGAGGAGGCATCAGGATGAGGGGAGTGTGACACTCTATGCCACAGGGGACAGCCCTGTAACCCCCATATTCCTCATTTGTGTAGATAATGGTGATATCCCATATAAAGCAGGCCGTGTGAGGTGTCGTGGGAAAGGTTACGATCTGCTGAAACCCACTGTTCCGTCTAAATGTGTGTCTCGTTCATGCATATTAAGTTATGAGAAGTGCATTGTATGGCTGTCACTAAAACACGCTGTGGGTTTTTGGACGTGCCCAGATACTAGCTCTCCAGAGACAACGACACGGGAGGGTAACCAACACCCGGATGGGCGCGGAGCAGACATCACCAGCCACTCTCCAGCAGAGGAGTTACAATTCAATGACTCACTGACAGGAGACACACCGGGGAATTGCCTCCCCTGGGGACTCAGCAGTGCCCCCCAGACATGCCTGGACTTGTGGTCTCCAAGCACATGGACTCAGGGTAGAAAACAGAACACAGGGGCCCCATGCTTGTCCCTTTCTCCTCCCGCCACCTACGCTGCAAGTAACAAGGACGCTCACAAGACTGATGATTTCAACAGGGGAGATTGGCCCAGGTTTAGGAGACAAACGTGTGTATTAGGGACTGTAAGATCCAGTGGGGTGAGAACATTGCTTGATGTAAATACTGTCGAGTGTGATAAGGGTTAAGGTTTGCACTGTGTGCTTATATTTTATTTTATATTTTTGACTATCACTTAAAAACTCTCTTTTGTAATCGATAAACTTGTTTTACGATTTATCTTTAGCAGTGAGTTTGCCTGAAGCGTGTGGTGAATCTGCTCAGGTTTGCAAAGGCCAGTGTGTATCCACTTTCCACTGATGAAGTGGGGGAACCAGTTAATAACTTTGCATTGCTCAAGAAAGGGTCTTAGAGAGTTAAGGGGGCATAGGGGTCCCAGGCTGCACCCCGGGGATCCCGTCACAGGGAGAAAGAGAGAGCCCTGGTCCCTCCCCTCTCTCTGCATGGGACAGGATAGTCTCATGCCTCATAGGCTGGTACAGGACATGGAGTGCCCAGGGACAGCTCCCTGGTGGGAATCCAAACACCCGCCTCATTGCCAGCAGCTGGGTGTGAGGGGATGGGGCCAAGCCCCACTGGTGTGTGACCCCTTCATATCTCCCAGCAGCCTCTGGTCAGTGGGTTCCAGCTGCAGGCTGGTAATTTCGCCAGCCCTGTCCGAGGGGGTGTTTCCTGTCCCATCAGTCGGGCCGTTTCCTCTCCCGACTGTTCCTCGAACCTAAGCCCCAGGTTAAACCAGTCCCCGCAGGTCTGTCACACCCCGTCCCCCTCCTTTCCTCCTCCCTGTGGATTTCCTGCCCCCCTCCCACCTCCGGACGAAACTCCCCAGAAGCTCCCCCCTCCTCTGGGTTTCCTGCCCCTCTCAGTGCAGAGGGAACCCACCAGCAACGCCCCGATAATCCCTACCTGAGCCAGCTCCCCGGCAGCCGTTGCTCTTCCCCGTCCCCTGGGAGGCTGGGCCCATCCGGAGGCAAAGGGGGAGGTCGTTCCGCAGCCTGTCAGGGTGGGGGGGGGGTTGGAGAGACCAGCTTTAGTGACGCTCACAGCACCTCCCGCAGGCTCGTTCCCCGCGGAGAGACATTCTAGGCGCTCCACCTCGCAGGGCCCCGACGTCGCCTTACTGCGGCGCGGACCCGGCCCTTCCCACCAGGGCTAGCCCCACGGAGACCCTTCAGGGCCCGACATGGTCCCCGAGGGCAGCACGCTCCCCGGCAGGCCGGGAGCCGGGCCGAGGTGGGGGCTGGATAAAATCTGTCCAGAGCTGAGACAGGAATGGAGCCGAGCGGGTCTGGGAGCTTGTGACCTGCCTTCTCCCTCGCTTCTCCTCTGTTTCTCTCTCCCCTCCCTCTGGCTGGGGACTTCGATACTGTCTATTCTTGGAGGCCTTTGCTGTCCTACCGGTGCTATTGCCATTTTGGATCCAATCTTTGGGCTTCGTCCTCATCTCCACAGAGCACTGGAGGGGTTTCAGTCTCTGGTTGTGACCCAGACACGGCATGGACAGGGGGACTCGGGAACAGCTGTGCGCTGGATTCTGAAGCCGGAAAGATTTCTGAACTGGGGGTTTACGGGAACGAATCGTTCCTTGGCTCAGTCCACACCTGGCATAACAGCTAACTAACTATTCATTCACAACAGGCCCATATACAAAGTAATGCCCTCTTCCCCTTCAGAAAATGAAAGGTCTAGTCTGACGGTCCTCAAGCGGCGGTTTGCTTCCCCAGGTGACTCACGACAGGCAACAAGATGGGCCGTGAGATATTATCACTTTTGTTATGAGCTAAAGCATCGGTTGTCAAACTGCGGGTTGGGACCCCAAAGTGGGTCATGACCCCCTTTTAATGGGGTCACCAGGGCTGGCTTTTAATGGGGTCACCGAGCCCCACGGCCCAGGGCTGTAGCCGAAACCGGGGGACTTCAGCCCTGGGCGGCAGGGCTCAGGTTACAGGCCCCACCCGGGGCAATGGGGCTCAGGCTTCGGTCCCCCCACCTGGGGGTCGTGTAGTCATTTTTGTTATCAGAAGGGGGTCACAGTGCCATGAAGTCTGAGAACATTGATAGTGATCAATGGCTCCATGTCTAGTTGGCAGCCGGTATCAAGTGGAGTGCCCCAGGGGTCGGTCCTGGGACCGGTTTTGTTCAATATCTTCATAAATGATCTGGAGGATGGTGTGGATTGCACTCTCAGCAAATTTGCGGATGATACTAAACTGGGAGGAGTGGTAGATACGCTGGAGGGCAGGGATAGGATACAGAGGGACCTAGACAAATTGGAGGATTGGGCCAAAAGAAATCTGATGAGGTTCAATAAGGATAAGTGCAGGGTCCTGCACTTAGGACGGAAGAACCCAATGCACCGCTACAGACTAGGGACCGAATGGCTAGGCAGCAGTTCTGCGGAAAAGGACCTAGGGGTGACAGTGGACAAGAAGCTGGATATGAGTCAGCAGTGTGCCCTTGTTGCCAAGAAGGCCAATGGCATTTTGGGATGTATAAGTAGGGGCATAGCGAGCAGATCGAGGGACGTGATCGTCCCCCTCTATTCGACATTGGTGAGGCCTCATCTGGAGTACTGTGTCCAGTTTTGGGCCCCACACTTCAAGAAGGATGTGGATAAATTGGAGAGAGTCCAGCGAAGGGCAACAAAAATGATTAGGGGTCTGGAACACATGAGTTATGAGGAGAGGCTGAGGGAGCTGGGATTGTTTAGTCTGCGGAAGAGAAGAATGAGGGGGGATTTGATAGCTGCTTTCAACTACCTGAAAGGGGGTTCCAAAGAGGATGGCTCTAGACTGTTCTCAATGGTAGCAGATGACAGAACGAGGAGTAATGGTCTCAAGTTGCAGTGGGGGAGGTTGAGATTGGATATTAGGAAAAACTTTTTCACTAAGAGGGTGGTGAAACACTGGAATGGGTTACCTAGGGAGGTGGTAGAATCTCCTTCCTTAGAGGTTTTTAAGGTCAGGCTTGACAAAGCCCTGGCTGGGATGATTTAACTGGGAATTGGTCCTGCTTCGAGCAGGGGGTTGGACTAGATGACCTTCTGGGGTCCCTTCCAACCCTGATCTTCTATGATTCTATGATTCTAACCCCTGAAAGCAAAGTCTCACTCTGCCACTTTTATCCTTCAAGGTCCCCTACTCTTGAAACACCCACCCACGTTACAGAGACTCAGCCTTGAGACTCATTTTATTCTTCCTTTCACAGTCAATGTAAGGGGATCCCCCCGCCACCCCCCCCCCGCAAAAAAACCTGACTTCAAATAAGGGGCCACCAATGTGAAAAGTGTGAGACGCACGGACACGCACTCGAGCAGCTCCCGTCTCATTCACAATGATCCCAAAGACAATCGAGGGCTCTCCTCCCCTTTCCAGCCAGTCTGTACACGGGAGACCAGCCCCATCTCTCCTTCAGGGCCAGGGTCTATTCAGGGTAGGGCTGGGCTCCACCCACTCCTCGCACCCGCGACTCTGCTGTCCCCACGTTCAGTCGCTCATTAAAGCGCTCATTCTTTTATTCGTGTCTCACCGTCTCTCACACCACGCCGGGTGTTGTTCCTCTTCCCAAAGGGAACCACCCCCCTGAGCTCCGGATTCGCTCTGAATCCCCATCGGACGCACAGCAGGAGCGAACCAGTCACGGGGCTCACCCGGCGTCACGTCGTTCCACCCTTCCCAGGGGCACATGGGGGCTGGAGGCCGTGATGCCCTGCCGCGAACATGGTTATTGGTGTGAAATCTCCCCCCGGCCCGTCAGAGAGGGACACGTACCTGCGTCGCTCCCCAGCTCCCGTCGCAGCGTCTCTAGGGGAAGGAGAGGACGGGAGAGAGGAGGATTCAGGCCCTCGCGTTCATAGAGAAATCCCCATTGGTTATATTAACGTAACCGATTTAAACTACGGGACGGGGACACAGACCGAGGCCCACAACGCAGCCGCTGCGGACAGAGCCAGCCCCACAGGGCGACTCCATGGGGAAGGGCGACGCGCGGAGCTGGGGCTGCGAGATGGAGCCCGGGGTCAGTGACATCCCGAGAGTCCCCGACTCCTCCCCAGGGCCGGGGTCGCTCTAACCAGAGGAGACGCCACCCCCAGACTCCCACTCACCTTTGAATCCCCGCAGGACCTGCTGCAGGACGGCACTTGTCAGAGAGAAATCGCTGAGCCTCCTCTCCAGCTCTGCAAACCCCGGCTCCGGCTCCCGAAACGCCCCGTCCTCCCTGCCGGGGAAAGAGGGAGGGGTGAGAAACGGGCCCGGATCCCCAAACCTGGAGCCCAGCAACCCCCAAACTCCAGCAAACCTGGATCTGAGCTTCATAGCCCGAGATGGGCACTGTTCTAGCGAGTCACCTGCCCTCAGCCCTGGGCTCTCCACAGAGATGGGACACGAGGAATGGAGACGGGCTCAGGAGCTTTCTCTGGGACACTGGTTCTGTGGGGTGCAGAGCCACCCCCGTCCGCTGGGTTACTCCAGGAACAAGGGGCTCCGGCACTGGGTTACCAGGAAAGGAAGGAGACAGGGACCAAAGGGTGGGCGTGTCCCACAATCGCACTGTGGCCCCAGACAGATGCTTCGCAGGGAATGAGCCTGGGCCCTTGAATGCCGAATGCCCAGAGCCCTGCACGGAAGCTGTAACCCTGCACCTCGTTTGGCAGGGGGGCCGTATTCGACGCCCTGGGGCGGTCAGCGGGCCCGGGCGTCGATTGCAGACTCTGTGTACGGCTCCGTTCAGAGCAGGACCCTCACTGCTCTCAGCGGGACACCCAGGCACAGACACCGAGGGGGGAGTCTGCCCTTCGGAGAGGAAATAACCTTTTCGCTACCTGTATTCATCAAGTCCTGTATGGTCACACTCAGTATCGCGCCGTGGGGAAGTAGCCCCATCCCGCGCCTGCCAGGGCTCCTGCTTTCCCCTTCCTTCCACCCTCATTTCTCTCTCTCCATTGCCTTCATGTCTCTCCTTTGCTCTCCCCGCCCTACAGAAACTCCCCGTTCCCACCCCTCCAGGGCTCCACTCCCCGTTCCAGCGGCGACCCGCCAAGGCCTGCTGACAGGAAAGTGGCCTCGTTTCAGCTGACGCTCCAGCGAGACGAACGGAGGAGTTCACACCCGTCTGAGCCATGGCTTCCGGCCGCTGGCAGACCCAGAAAGACAACAGCGTCCCCGGCTGCACGCGGGAGGGGTTCTCCCCAACCACGAGGCCTAGAAACTTACGCTAAAATGGAAAGCGGAGATTCTCCACACCGGGAATACCTGAGACGGCCACAGAAATACGCCAGACAGGCCGGGTCCGGCCCATGGGTCCGACAGCCCTGGTGGGACCTCAGGAGCTGTCAGGGAGTAACAGGCTCTTCCCCCTCGTGAGGCAGCCACGAGGGGAGACCTGATCCCAGGCACCAAGCCGGCGTCTCGCACTGCAGGGGAGGGGGAAGCTCCGGATTTTGTGCCGTTTCCCAGCGTAACTGAGCATGAGGGGGGCGTGAAATGGAGCCGGGGACTCACCTGCTCCCACTGCTCCCGGCACCCTGGAGAGGGAGCGAGAGAAGAGACAGTCACGGGGGGGGTGTCCCAGGCAGAGGGGCCACCGTTGGCGTCTCTGGCGTGTGGGGCATTTCAGACACTGGGGTTCACGTTCAGAGAGCAGCTGCTGCCCCCCGGGAATCCCTGCTGGGACGTCGCCATCAGGGAGGCACTTTACAGGAAGAAAATATTTCTCCGCCTTGAGAGTGAAATTCCCACTCGGGCTGAGAGCCCCGCAAGCCCCCTGGCCCCATTAAACCCGTTCACCTGGGGTGGCGAGGGGCCTTAGGCCTGGCTCGGGGCCTCGGCATGGCAGGGAGGGGACATCACCCTCCAGCCCAAATGCAGTTAGACATTGGCAGGGCATTTACTGCGTGACCTTGGTCAGGGCTCTGCCCTGCCCTGTGCCTCACTTTCCCCCTTTCTCCCATAGGGATAATGCCCCTGTCCCCCCTTTGTAAAGTGCTTTGGGGCCTGGGGCAGACGCTCCTACAGGAACGCTGCGTGTGATCATTGCAACGACAGCCTGACCTGCAGGGGTGGGCTCAGCGGCTGCCCCTTCTCTCCTCCCCGCTCCCCGAGCAGGGAAATCTCCCGGGACACTCGGCAGGCGCCCGCATCCCTTCTCTGGGCAATGGCTCTCTCGAGCTCTTCCAGCCGGGACAGCAGCCGCTGCTCCTGCTCCGCCAGAAACCCTCGCAGATCCCGCCACTCCCAGACCATCTTCTGCCTCTCGGCTGCCGTCCGGCTCTGCAGCCACAGGGAGAGGGCGGGTGGGTACCGGGGGAGACCCATAAATGCCCCTCCCGGCGGGTGGGGGAGTTATTTCCCAGAGCGCGGGATCTCTTGCGCTGGGGGATGGGAAGGTTATTTACCCCAGCAAGGGGGGACGGATCAGGGCAGGGGTGAGCTGTACATCGCTCACGGGGGGGGGGCTGTTCTCCCCAAAACCTCATCCGATTGCCCTGGGCCAAACCCTCCATCTCTGCAGCCGGCATTTCCTCCCCATTCCCCCCAGGTGCGGGAAAGGCTCCCCGGTCACTGTGACACGCAGACAGCCCGTGGGCAGGGGCTCTGGGCTCACACAGACTGACCCGCTCCTGCCCAGCAGCCTCCCGCACCCTACGGGCACCATGCCACCCCCGTGTCGGACCCTGGGCTCCGGTGGGGACGGGTCCCTGGCTGAGGCTGGCAGGCCGGGCCCTGCATTCGCCGTCACTCGGGGCACCGGGATCCCTGGCGAACCTGGGCCCTGGGCACCTACCAGCAGCTCCTGGCTTTGCCGCGGCTCCTCGGCTTCGGCTGCTTCTCTCTCTTTTCCCAGAGGGGCCCGACGCTCTCGGGGGGGCTCCTGGAAGAAGCGGGGGGGGGGGTTACAAACTGCTGCAAACGGCCTCACAACGGCCCGATTTCAGGGCCCGTCCTGCCCTGCAGAAGCCCGAGGAGAGTCCCTGGGGCTTTTTTCCTCGTTCAGCCTCAGCCAGGAAGCTCTGAGGGGCTGCTGAAACGGGGAGCAGGTTTCCCAGAGAAAACACAGGGCCCCTGGGAGAGGTGATGGGGTGCAGCCCGGCTCCCCCGCCCCCGCAGCCCCCCCATGCCCCCTGCACCCACCCACCTCCCAAGCAACAAACTTCAGACACTGCCCCCAACTTCCTCCCCGCGAACTGGCCCCCGGCCCCACTCACAGCCCTCAATATTAGCATCAGTGCCGGATCAGAACATGGACCCCCCACCCCAACTCTGTCCCCCCCACTGACACCTCCCAACCCCCAGCTCTGTCCCCCACTTACACCCCCCAAACCCCAGCTCTGTCCCCCCACTTACACCCCCCAAACCCCCAGCTCTGTCCCCCACTGACATCCCCCAAAACCCCCAGCTCTGCCCCCCACTGACACCCCCCAACCCCCAGCTCTGCCCCCCACTGACATCCCCCAAAACCCCCAGCTCTGTCCCCCCACTTACAGCCCCCAAAACCCCCAGCTCTGTCCCCCCACTGACACCCACCAACCCCCAGTTCTGCCCCCCACTGACAACCCCCTATCCCCAGCTCTGCCCCCCACTGACACCCCCCAACCCCCAGCTCTGTCCCCCCACTGACACCCCCCAACCCCCAGCTCTGCCCCCCACTTACACCCCCCAAAACCCCCAGCTCTGTCCCCCCACTGACACCCCCCAACCCCCCAGCTCTGCCCCCCACTTACACCCCCCAAACCCCCAGCTCTGCCCCCCCACTGACACCCCCCAACCCCCAGCTCTGCCCCCCACTTACACCCCCCAAACCCCAGCTCTGCCCCCCCACTGACACCCCCCAAAGCCCTAGCTCCAAACTACTCCCAACCCCCAGCAGCCCCACGACCCCCAGATCCACCCCCCCCCGCCACGGCTCTGACCCCCAGATCCACCCTCCCCCGGCGGCCCCCATCCCCTCGCTCCCGCGCCCCGCGCCCCGCGTGTCCGCCCCACGCGTGTCCCCGCCCGGACCCACCGCGCGGCCCCCGGCCCCGGCCCCGGCCATGGCCCCGCCGCCGCGGCCGCACGAAGGGCTCCCGGGAGGAAGAGGCGGCTCCTGCCCGGGCCTGGCCCTGCCCCTGCCGGGGCGGGGTGAAAATCCGGGGTGGTTTTTTGCTCCCCGGCCGCGGCTAAAAGAGGCAAGTCGCCCTGGGGGGGGGACTGGATGGAAACCAGGTTTGGAGACCGACTCAGGCAGGCTGGAAATGGTCCGCTCCGAAGAGACGAGAGGGAAAAGTGAGAAAGAAAAATGCCAAGAGAGGCATCACCGTGAGAAGCAAAACTGGACACACAGGAGAGCGGAGAGCGGGATAAATCCCAAGTCCATTCATGGCTACGAGCCCCGCACGGTGTTTGCCGCGGGGTGGGGATGGGTGGCAGGAGAGAGATCTCACTTAGGGCTAAAGCTACAAGGAGTCCAGCAGGAAGAGCCGGCCTCGTGGCACCTTAGAGACGAACAAATGTATTTGAGCATAAGCTAAAACCCACTTCATCAGATGCATGGAGTGGAAAATACAGGGGGGGAGATTTTATATACACAGAGAACATGAAATCTCCCCCCTGTATTTTCCACTGCATGCGTCCGATGAAGTGGGTTTTAGCTCGCGAAAGCTTATGCTCGAATAAATTTGTTAGTCTCTATTTACATGAAATCTCCCCCCTGTATTTTCCACTGAATGCATCTGATGAAGTGGGTTTTAGCTCTGAAAGCTTATGCTCGAATAAATTTGTTAGTCTCTAAGGTTTACATGAAATCTCCCCCCTGTATTTTCCACTGCATGCGTCCGATGAAGTGGGTTTTAGCTCGCGAAAGCTTATGCTCGAATAAATTTGTTAGTCTCTACGGTTTACATGAAATCTCCCCCCTGTATTTTCCACTGAATGCATCTGATGAAGTGGGTTTTAGCTCGTGAAAGCTTATGCTCGAATAAATTTGTTAGTCTCTACGGTTTACATGAAATCTCCCCCCTGTATTTTCCACTGAATGCATCCGATGAAGTGGGTTTTAGCTAGTGAAAGCTTATGCTCGAATAAATTTGTTAGTCTCTAAGGTTTACATGAAATCTCCCCCCTGTATTTTCCACTGAATGCATCTGATGAAGTGGGTTTTAGCTCGTGAAAGCTTATGCTCGAATAAATTTGTTAGTCTCTAAGGTTTACATGAAATCTCCCCCCTGTATTTTCCACTGAATGCATCTGATGAAGTGGGTTTTAGCTCGCGAAAGCTTATGCTCGAATAAATTTGTTAGTCTCTAAGGTTTACATGAAATCTCCCCCCTGTATTTTCCACTGAATGCATCTGATGAAGTGGGTTTTAGCTCGTGAAAGCTTATGCTCGAATAAATTTGTTAGTCTCTAAGGTGCCACAAGTCCTCCTGTTCCTTTTGTGGATCCAGACTAACACGGCTGCTCCTCTGAAAGGAGTCCGGTGGCACCTTAAAAACTAACGGATTTATTTGGGCATAAGCTTTCGTGGGTAAAAACCCCCCCCGCCGACTTCTTCAGATGCTAAACCTGCAGACCCCCGCAGGTCACATCAGACGGAGGAGCTGCCGTGACCAGCCACTGGGAGGCCCTGGGAGGCCCATGCTGAGAGGTGCTGTCTGCGGGAGGGGAAATAAAAAAATCCCCTCGCCCTATTTTTGCAAACACAAGTGTCTCAGGCCCCTGGGGTAACCGTTACCCCCTCTGCCCCTGCCTGGGCCAGGGTTTTACCCTCTGGCAGAGCCTCACCCCTGGGCTTAACCCCTGCTCCTCCACCCCCATCCCTGATTTAGCCCCTCTCCTAACCCTGCCTCCAGTTGCTTGACCCCCCCCCCCCCCGCCAGCCACGGCCAGTCAATTTCCTCCCCCCTGCTCAGATCCTGGCCACCCCCCTGCTCCGATTTTCCCCCTTGGCTCCCTTTTCACCCCTGTAACGCTGCAGAATCTGCTGCCAGGGAAGGGCAGGGGGAAGGGCAGTGGCTTCAGCAGATGTTACTGAGCGTGCTCCGTGCACCCTAAGGGGCAAATTATGATCGAGACTTTAGAGACCGACACCGGTCTCTACACCGGTTTTCATATGACACCGGCCACTTCCCGGGAGCCGCCGGAGGTAAGCTCCACCCAGAGCCTGCACCCCTCACCCCGTCCCACACCCCCACCCCCTGCACCAGCTCGGAGCCCCCTCCTGCACCCCGAACCCCCTCTGGGAGCCTGCACCCCCACCCCCTGCACCGGCTCGGAGAGCCCTCCTGCACCCCAAAACCCCTCTGGGAGCCTGCACCCCCACCCCCTGCACCAGCTCGGAGCCCCCTCCTGCACCCCAAACCCCTCATCCCTGGCCCCACCCCAGAGCCCACTCCCCAGCCCAGACCCCCACCCCTGCCCCAGCTCAGAGCCCCCCTCCTGCACCCCAAACCCCCTCCTGGAGCCTGCACCCCCACCCCTGCCCCGGCCCGGAGCCCCCTCCTGCACCCTGAACTCCCTCAAAGAGCCTGCACCCCCATCCCCTGTCCCAGCCCAGAGCCCCCTCCTGCACCCCAAACCCCTCATCCCTGGCCCCAACCCAGAGCCCACTCCCCCCCAGACCCCCACCCCTCCCCAGCTCAGGCCCCCCTCCTGCACCCCAAACCCCCTCCTGGAGCCTGCACCCCCACCCCTGCCCGCCCGCCCCCTCCTGCACCCTGAACTCCCTCAAGACCCTGCACCCCCATCCCCTCTCCCAGCCCGAGCCCCCTCCTGCACCCCAAACCCCTCATCCCTGGCCCCACCCCAGAGCCCCCCACACACCCCAAACCCCTCATCCCTGGCCCCACCCCAGAGCCCACTGCCCAGCCCAGACCCCCACCCCCTGCCCCAGCCCTGAGACCCCTCCTACACCCCGAACTCCCACCAGGAGCCTGCACCCCCACCCCCTGCCCCAGCCTGGAGCCCCCTCCTGAACCCCAAACCCCCTCCAGGAGCCTGCACCCCCACCCCCTGTCTGGAGCCCCCTCCTATGCCCCGAACCCCTCATTCCTGGCCCCAGCCCAGACCCCCACCCCTTGTCCCAGCCCAGAGCCCCCTCCTCCACCCCATACCCCTCATCCCTGGCCCCACCCTGGAGCCCCCACCCCCGTCTGCATCCCAACTCCCTGCCCCAGCCGGGTGAGTGAGGGTGGGGGAGAGCCAGTGATGGCGGGAGTGGGGGCGGGGCCTTGGGGAAGGGGCGGGGCAAGTTGGCAACCCTAAACTTTCTCCAGCTGGGGCCGGTCTCCCCAGGCAGCCCCCGGGACGGAGACTGCGGGTAACCGAGAGGGACCTGGGGACATGCTGGGGAGGGGCAGGAAAGTGACTCTCTGCGCCGGGGGCCCCAGGGAACCTGTCCCTGGTTGTTAGAAAGCGAGATCGGACCTAGTTCGTGACTGCACCTGCCGGGGTCTGCTCCGGGGGCACAACTGGGGAGAAGTGTCGGGAGGATCGAGCGCGGGCCCCCAGCGGGGTGTCCCCTGGGTGCGTCTGGGCTGGCGGGGTCAGGAAGGGAGGGACGAAAAATGAGCCAGAAATGGGGAGTAAGCGGAGGTGGGGGATGGGGTCATGGGAGAGGGGAGGTTTGGGGGGTCAGGATCGGTGCGGGAATCCCACCCAGTTTACACACGATCCTTGCTGGTGTGGAGCCGGCCCTCCCTCCGAATGCCACTCCACTTTCCCTGGATTCGACAGACTTTCCCCAAATGTCTTTATTGCCACTCCTCTCTCCAGGACTCCGCGCCTCCCCCCCACCGCCCCGCCCCGGCCCCACCACACGCACACACCTCTCCCCTCCCCACTGTGACCCCGATTCAAACCCATTTCTCCCAAGGATGCCAATGCACTGCTCGACCATCTCGAGAGCCAGGCGGCAGGCGGCCATCTGGGTGCATAACCATCCGGGGAGCGCATCCTTCAGCTGTCCTTCCTAAACAGCCCCCTTCCCCGGTTGCCCCCAGGAGCGGGGGAAGCCGCTGCTGAGGATTCATTTACCCCCATATTTTGTGTTCCGTCACAGATTTCAAAGGCAGACGAGATCGCAGGGAACGTCTGGCCTGACCTGCTGCATCGCAGAGTCCTGAAAATTTTACCCCGAGAGTCCCACGGCCACCTCGACACCTTCTGGTTGCTTCGAACGGGCCCAGCGCAGGGGACGCCCCCAGTCAAGAGGCCTTGCAGGCCGGACTTGGGGGCGAGGGGGATCGTAACCCCGACATGGGGGCCGATGCTGGGAAGAAGGGTCCTGCCACCTAGAGCCTGAGGGCGTGTGGCCACGGCCCGAGCAAGGGTCCGACCCGCGGCAGGGCTAGAGCCTGGACAGGAGGTCTGGGACATGTGAGAAACAGACTGTGAACTTCCCTGAAGTTTTCTAGAGACGCTGGCTGTGATGTCCCCACGTCACAGAGTGGGGTTGGGGCGTTTTCCTTTCCCCTTTCCCATTTTGTCCTTATTTTTTAACATTGGTTGCTGTTTAATAAAGTATGCTTGTCTGAACTGTATGTAACGATCAGTGGGTCAGGGAAGCATCCAGTGCAGAGAGAGCACCCCGGAGTGGGGACACCCTAGCCCCTGCCCTAAGTGCCCATGACGAGACTGGGGGTCGAGCTCCCCGGGAATCCTGGACCCAGCCTTGCTGGGGTTGCGAGGACTCTGCCACGCAGGAGAGTGGAAGAGACTCGGATCCTCCCGCTAGCCCACTTCACCGGGGTCGTGTATAGGCCGGGAAAAGTTCCCCACAATAGCGGGAGCGTTTCCCCGCTCACATAAGCATAAAGCTCAGCTCGGCACTGGCCACGAATGGGAGATGAGAATTGTCCCCCTGAACCCCAAGTTTGCAAAATATAAAAAAAAGGGACCCCTGAGCATCACGGCCCCCGCTCTGCCGTACGGGCTAGTTTGCGGGAGCTCGGGGTCTCGGGTCAGAATGGCATTGTCTGGCAGTTACTGGAGTCACACCATGGGGATTAATGGGTTCTAAAGAAATCTGATGAGGTTCAATAAGGATAAGTGCAGAGTCCTGCACTTAGGATGGAAGAATCCAAT